ATGGATGGATGGATGGATGGATGGATGGATGGATGGATGTTCCTGGATCTGTGTTTCTGTTCCCATCTACATTGTATTACATCTACAAGAACTCCTCTCTGCCTCCTGATCTCTGCATTTGGGTTCTCACCTAACTTCAACCAAACCTGACAACATCTGGTTTAAGGAATCAGAAAAGGGCCAAAAACAAATCAAACTTTTAAGAGAGAACAGCTCAAAACGTCAATAATGATCCAGAACTTTAAGCTGATTTATAGGACAATCAACAAACACATCTCATTTTAAGTACAAAGGATGGGAATACCTTTATGAGGCACTATTTTCTACAATATTTTACATTGATTTAATCCATGCTAAAGTATCCTGCTGGGATAAATCCTTTCAGCTAAGACAAAAGTGGCAACAGTGAGTGGAGCAAAACTCTTGAGAAAAATCCTCAAGGAACGGCCAGCAAGACAAACGTCACCCTTAATGGATACCAGCAGGACTGGCTTAAAGTAATTCCAGTAACCTTTTTTTGCAATGTATTTTTTGGTTGCATGACAATAAGACGCCCATCTTCTGATTTCTTCATCAATGCATCCTTTATATTTCATTTGTTTTCCTAGGCCTCCTCCTCCTCCTCTTGCACAACTGTTGATTTCTGTTCCCTTTATATGTTTGATTTCCTCATGCAGTTACACAACCTTTTGGCGGCTAAAAAGTTTCAGTTTTCTCAGCAGCTTTGATTGACAGAGGCCTGAGCACATTCTGAATGTTTGTGTGTGTTTGTAGAGGCTGCATGTGTGTTTTAACCAACCTGTGTCTGTTTAAAGTTTAATTATAGTATTGGGCCTTTCTTCTCAGGGATATTTACACATGATGGGGAAAGCTTAACCTCTACAGTGTCCTCCAAAAGTATTCATTTGATTTAAACATGGAAACAAGAAATACAGTTCAATGTATTTTATTGGTAATTTATAGATGACTGACAAGAAGAAGGACATTATTAGGAAGTGGGAGAAAAAAATCTAAGAAAGCGTAGTTTCAGCTTCAATGTATTCCAAAGTGTGTCTAATTTCATCTCATTATGTACAGCTGTTCTGTGAAGGCCTCAGAGGTTTGTTAGAGGAAGCTAGTGAACAAACAACACCATAATCAAGGAGCCCAGCGGACAAATGTGGTTATATTTTAATCCATCTATAAGAAAAAGTAGTACAGCATGGTCTGTGACCAAAGCACAGCAAAGCAAGCCATTTTGCAGCATTAGGAATGAATGAAATGCAGATGAAAATTTTTCATCTGAATGAAGAGCATTTTCTATTTTGCTGCAGAACTGGCAGAATGAAGACAAATAGCTTTAACCAGAACAAAAAGAGGTCCATTGTGTTAGGGAAAGAGCTGCAGAGATACACAGCTCAGGTAGGAGAATCTGCTAACCTTCTGCATCACTTATAACGTATCATCCCCCTAAAGACAAGTATTTAAGGATCTGTTGTAGCCTGCACAAAAAAAGCATGTGGTCTGAAGAAAACAGAACAAAAGACTGAGGTGGTTTCTATTAAAAATATTTACTCGTAAGAAAAATCGAGTCAACTCTAAGGCCTAAAGTGAAAATATTTAATATTTAAAGAAATATTGTATTGACCAAGGAGAGTTGGGTTAAAAAAGTTTTAATTTGCCTCCCAATAGTCATAGTATGTTAATCGATGATAATAAAAAGAAAAGTCCTTTTCATCATTCTAGTGTCATACAATATAAAAAAAGGAAAGAAGACTAATTGGGTATCAATACTTTAGTAAGAAACTTTATTTAAATGTGTGATTTAGAAGAAAAAGAGCTTTAAGAGGTTGCGAAATAGTTTTTTGCATTGATTCATCAGAGGAAAGCAGGCACACATGCATGCACCCTCTCAGACACAGGGGCCGTGTGTTGACTTAAGAGTTAATGAATGGATGATTGAGAACTGCAAGGGCTGGGAAAAGCAGCACCCTGAAAACATTCCCCAAGAAAGAAGCACATAAGTTGAGTTAAAGACAGAAAAGGAAGAAAAAATGAATGCTTCACACAGACAGAGGTAATTTCTGTATGTAGAGAGAGGGAGAGAGTCTGCCTGGGGGGATTTTGGAAGAACTGGAAAGCACTAATAAAGCAAGTAGCATGTACTTGACAAGGACCCAAGGGGTAAAAGAGTGAAAGAGGAGCAGCTGTTGGAGGAGGAGAATGAGACAAAGGAGGAGAGGGGGGCTGTCCTTGCTTGCTCTTCACTCCAAGGTCTGTATGTGGGAGGAGGCAGTGGGAGAGCAGGAGCAAGAGGGGGAACCAGGAAAGAAAAGAGCACTAAGCAAAATGTTTGGCATGTAAAAACACACACATCTTGACAGTTGTGTGTTGTGGATAGTTTTGGGCAGCCTCTCTTTCTACCCTCCTCTGTGTTTTACATCTTTGTGTCTTTTGAGTGGACAATGCTGCAGAGGAGGACTGTTCCCTGGCTCTGTGCTCTCCTGCTGGGGATAATGGGGCTTCCAGCGTCGGGCTCTGACTTTCAGCATCACCGATATGAGGACATGGTCCGAGTCCTTTTTGCAGTGCAGAGCGAATGCCCCTACATCACTCGCATTTATAGCATCGGGCGCAGTGTGGAGGGCCGCCACCTCTATGTGCTGGAGTTCAGTGACAACCCAGGGATCCATGAAGCCTGTGAGTAACACCTGATTCATTGTTTGGCTGAAGGATATAGAGGAGCATTTAACAGGTAGACACAAAAACACATTTTATAGGATGTTTAGATTCATTTGCATTTAATCAAGGTAGAGAAAATGTCAGTGATTTTTGGTGGAGCATAGATGATATTTCAGAGCACATTCTGTTCATTTACACTTTTTGGTGTTGGGACATAGCTGGCAGGAGACTGAGCAGCCTGTGCGAGGATTCTGGTTTTATCCCAAGGAGATAAAACACAAGCCTCCAGATTTGGCTTCATGAGGGTAAAAAGAGAGGAGGGCTTTAAAAAGCTGGCGTCTTTGATAAACATCAGTGGAAATCCAACAAAAAGAGAAAAAAAGCAAAAGAACTGAGCCAACATCTGTGTTTCATCTCAGTTTTTCTGCCATCCAACCTCTGACAAATTGTGTGGTGCAATTCAAAACTGAGTAGATGACTAATAGGTTCACTTTGAGTCAACATGGGTTTAACCCGGAGCCTACTTCTGCAAAATGTTTTGCTTGTTTAATACCCCCCCACACACACACACACATACACACATACTCGTTCTGCTATATGTAGTGAGGACCATGTGTGACTCCCATTGACTTCAATTGATTTTCAGTCATTTTCAACCCTTTCTATGCTCTAACCTTAAAACTAACTCTAAACCTAACCATTACCAATGCATACCTCACCCTAACCCTAACCCTAACCCTAACTAACTGACACCTTAGCCCTAAACCTAACCATTAGCAAAGTAGCATGTGAGGACCGGGAAAATGTCATCACTTTGCAAAAACTGGTCCTGAATTTGGTGAAATTGGAAAAATGGTCCTCACTTTGAGGGTTAGACAGGTACACACACACACACACACACACACACACACTCTCTCTCTCCCTAAACTCCAAATCAACTTCTCTCTTTATTTTGCTCATTGATTGCACATAAAAAAAAACATCTAAACCATGACCACACTGCACCTCATATTTGTGGGTAAAATGCCAAACGATTATACCACATGTCAAACATGTCAATTTTTTTTTCTTACCATTCCTTCATCGCTGCTTAGGGAACAACTTAAGAAATAGCCTGATATCTGCAAAGAATGCTATTTTGGCCATGACTGAGCTTGCATTTTTTTCAGCTTTCCGCTTTTGTACACGTAGGGGCTTCCTTCAGTAGAATAGAAGGATGTGTGCCTGCTCTGTTGCAAGGTTAAAAACAGGAACTGTACACTTCATGACGGGGGAGTGACCTTAGGTTCTTGTCTAGGTCAGCCTTCTTTTTACTCTTTAGGAAGTTTGGTTGGTTTGTTTGCTCCTGCTGCTGCTATCTACTAGTGGTTTCTGAACTCACTGCTGGTTGTCATCATGGTAAAAATAAAGAGGGGGTTTGCACGGTCAAACTGCCATGAGTGAGAGATAAACAAAGAAAACACATGAATGAATTTGGGAAAAACAGAAATGCACACAACAATACTTGATAGCTGTCAGTTTTCAGTCACGGTGTTGGCCTAAAGTTCCACTAAATGCAGGTCTGGGTTTCTCTGCACTTCAGGAATGATTAACGAAGTGACCCATGGGAGGAGGGAAATCTATCCAGCGGACGGGGTTGTTTGGATTGGTTGCTTTAAGATACCAACGAGAATATCAGATGACCTCTGAAATAACACAAACGGGGAGAATCACTTATTGGCCTTACATTTCTCATTTGAGAAGCTTAAATTTGTCCTTTCTGAAAAAGCTTTTTTTTGCCATCAACAGTAAATTCACAGGAAAAAAATCTACAACTGCATTCTTCATGTCTGAACTTTGCAACTTTTTAAACTCAGAATCTGTGACAAAGTCAAATAAAAAGTCTTTAAAATCACTTTGGGCATTGACTGTGTTCTAACAATGATTGCTTGACATCAACCAATAATTCAATCCCTTAGAATGAGCTGAAACATGTACACCACATATTTATAGCAGGAAGAACAGTAGTCTTTACACTGCAGTGTAAGTAAGTCCATTTTCCCTAAAGTACATGCAAATGGTACAAATATGAAATAGGTACAAATGCAAATTCCACTGGCAGATCATCTTATTTACCTACTTAAATCAAGGGAAAATACAATTGTTATATGAAATTTTACTCATTTACGAAGCGTAGTAGTTTAATAAACAAATCTTTTCAATTTAGTACATTTCCCATTCCAAACATTAAATGGGGGACCTAAGAACTACATATCTGGGACTCAGTTAATGTTGTAGGGCCTGTGTCCCAGGATCCAGGATCTGCATCTATATTCCAAAAACAGGACCGTTAATTTGATCCTTTAAGGTGTCTCTAGGTATATGTGTGTTTGACTGGTGATCGATCTAAGGTGTAACCTGCCCCATGTTCTGTAGAGTTAGGCACCAGCTCTCCAACAATCGTGTATAAAAGGTTTTAAAGGTGGATATTCTATACCCACATGATTTGAATTCAGCAATGTTATTGACTCATACTGTACAATTATCTCTATTTGTTTTTTCTGGACTTGAGTTAAAAAGGCACTCTTACTTAAGAGAAAAAAGTGCACTACTTTTTTTTTTTGCAGGCTAAATTTGAAACATTAAGTTTTAAACTTATAAGAGCCTATGCATGCTCACGCATGTCTTCTTACTCCCTCCATTTTTTCAACTCTTCTTGCAGTGGAGCCAGAGTTCAAGTATGTGGGCAACATGCATGGCAACGAGGTGCTCGGCCGCGAACTCCTCATCAAGCTCTCACAGTTTCTATGCGAAGAGTACAGGGCCGGAAACCAGCGGATCACAAGGCTGATCCATGACACACGCATCCACATCCTGCCCTCCATGAACCCTGACGGCTATGAAGTGGCAGCCAGACAGGTAATGTAAACACTGGTATAAGTGTGAGCTTTTTTGCTTCTAGCACCAAAGAAGAAAAAACAGAGACAGAAATCCCCCTAAGGACCCTCTGTTTTTCTAATCCAGTCATCTGCTGCCTAAGTAGGGAAAAAAAAAGTTGTTTTTGCCAAAAATGTCAAGGATCCATTAGTGAAACAAAACACACATGTGCTAAAAAAGCACAGCCCTCAGTCTTAAGACGCAGTTTGTTTAAATCTATGTGATAATATGTTAAGCCATACGTTTTAAGTTCAAATGACTGCATTCAAGATGCAACTCAGAGCCAGACAATAGCAGGTGATTTTGATCCCAGCGTTTGCTCATGTCAGTAAGTACCTAAGGAAAATCTTTTCCAGGTAATTGTGCATGGAACCACAGATCGCATACAACCCGTCTGACACAAACACTTACACACGTGTATGCAATCTCTTTGAGACTAATTATATGTCCGGAAGAGAGCTGCAGCACATAGCAGACAGCAGACCTTCTCTTTACCAATCAGAGTGCACAGAACTACACTATAATTTGGTGCTTAACAGATGTTTGGATGCAGCAGCATCTGGACACAAATGTTATGGTTTGTTTCCCAGCATCATGCTTGGCATAATAACGGTTAAACATGAATAACTTTACTTTATGGAATGGCAGTAGGGTTCTCCTTACAGGTTTACTGCTTTATGTTGTTACTGCAGGCGGCTCAAACTGCAGTAAATTATTAGCTGATTTTCTGCTCCAATACATCCTGGAATAAAAGTCTTTATGATGAGCAATTGATTTGGTTCAGATTTGTTGGAACTAGGATGCATCTAAAAGCTGGGAGAGAATGACTTTAGTATGACTTTATTATAGAATGTTGTCCAGGTCACGAAGCAGTGGAGAAACTCAGGCTTTTACCACCACAGCTTTTTCCTGAAATGTTGGTTTGGCTGTATGTTTGTTTCGTCACTCTGCAGAAATATTTCTCAAAAGTCATGGACCATCACAGTGGTTCATGGGGAAGGTGACGGGTGCTTTTTTGTTCCCTCATATGCCCTAGACCTTTATGTCAGTGACTTTATTTTTCATCTGTTCTTGTTTTTGTTTTGATTTGGACGTGTTGTTTTGCTTTTTGAGATCTTTTAGCCAACTTAAAGAGGCTAAAAGATCTTAATAAGCTTGATTAAGTAAGTTTCTTAATTTACATTTGTGCTTCTGTGTGGATAGTGAAATTAAACCATGAAACATTATTTAACAAGGGATACAAACAGATTGTAACATTGGGCAGAGTTATTTCAGACTAATGTATAGACTAATGTATAGACTGAAAAATGTTTGTTCATCTGTTTTAATTTGTCTGACTTTAGAAACCAGTCCCTGGTGTTGGGATCTTCTTGATCCCTTTCGCCTCAGAAGTAGACAATTTGTGGTTCTGTTTTCTTTTTTAATAAGCCAAAATTATTAACAAAAATTACCACGTTTTTACAAATAAAATATTGGGTATAGTAAAAAGTTTTTTTAAACCAAAATTGCTGTTAGCATTATCCCTAATAGACTATTTTATAATAAATAGTACCAGCTCTATCCATGAAATTGAAATGACTTATATAGTAGTAAGAATAGTAGTCAAGGCATTTAGTTGCTTATTAAATGCTTATAAACACATATTTACAGTTTGGTATATTTTCAATTCCTAATGTTACTTTTAACTAATTTGTTACCTTTATCCTGTTCTTTTATCTAAATTATTTCCTTATTTCAATCAAAGCCAAAATAATTCATAATCTAGATATTTATCTGCTGAGGAAAATGAGCATAACCCTAAGCTAAGTTTCAATTTTGGCATGTACTTTTTTTCATTTAAATATTATATGTTTAGTTTTTAAGCAGACTAAAAATAATTGTATTGTTAAAGATGTTTTAGTTTTTTGACATTTGAGCTCCTTTTACGAAATAATTTTGGCCAAAAAATGTGGACACCACTTATTTAGGCTAACGTCTACCAGCAATACACTTCAAACAAACACTAAGGAGATCAATTTGTCTTTGTCAACAGGGTCCTGAACTGAATGGATATCTGGTGGGTCGAGGGAATGCCAGAGATATTGATCTGAATCGAAACTTTCCAGACCTGAATGCACTAATGTACTACTATGAGAAAACCAATGGAAGAAACCACCACCTTCCGCTGCCAGACAACTGGGAACATCAGGTCAGTGTTAATGGATGATAACTGTTTATGTAAGAAGACAATTAAAATCATATAAGTTTAGTACATAAAATGACAAATACTGTACATTTTTTTATAGTCTGATATTAAATCAGACTAATCTGCACAAAGCAATCCCCCTGCAGCAAAACACCAAACAACATGATGCTACCCCCACCATACCTCTGATTTCATTATATTTGCAAGCTTAGGCTTAGAAGATTCACGTTTTCTGATAAAAAGAGAAAGTAAGAATTCAAATGATCCAAACAACTAAGTAGATTTTAAAGGTTTTTGTCTCCAAACCTCTGCATTCAGGAAAAGTTTGGTCTGAATGTAGTAGCTTCTGTAAATATCTGGTTTCGAGTACATGCATACATTTGTTTTTTCTTTAAATAAAAGCAAATATGGCTTTTTAAAGATTGGAAACTGAAAGGAAATGAATAGACTTTGTGTGTGCATGTGCTGAACAACTCTGTTCATTTACATAGTTGGAGAACTTTGCCCAGGATTAAATTTCTGCTCCAGCTGAGTTTGGCTGACTATATAAGGACCTGTCCATAATTATATACAGTTACTAGTAAACACTCTAGACAGTAGGTGTGCTTTATATTAAAAATCTGTTGGGTAACCTGTCTGCACACAGTTTAGAAATTGTATGTAGTATGCTGTGGGAGAATAAGAGTTTCTGTTCCTTTTTTCTTTATCTGAACTGGAACTGCATTTTTATTTTCAAAAATACAAATATACTATTTATGTTGACTGAAAAGAACCCCAGATCACAATTTGAAAAAGATTAACATTGCAAGTAGAAAAGGCACATCTAACTTTCCTCTTTGCTAATAACATTTTCTCATATGCTGTTCATTTATAGCCATTTTTAGAAGCAACAGACACAAGCTACAGCCTTGTGAATATTATCCTTATTTTTGAGAGTATAAACTGGATTGAATTCTTAGAGTAAATACCATCATTCAGGTTGGATTTAGAAGACATGTGGCTTCGTTCCAGGTGATCGAATGGCCTCTGTAGTTCCCCCTGTACTTGCTTTAGGGCACTTGAGCGTGAAATGAACAGTAGAGGGATTTATAAAAGCATGTGCTGTCAAAGTACAGCTAATAGTCTGCCAAAAAGCACGTTTCTAGTATTAAGGTCAGGTCCTTTGGGGAGCCTGAACTTCTCTGCCTAAATTCAAAAGGAAAAGGCTGCTGTTCTTGGTTAACTCCTTTAAAGTCCCCCCTCCCCATCTAATGGATTTCTGTTTCATCAAAAATACCACAGTATCCATCCGCCTATTGTGCAAAGCCAAAAGCAAATGGTGCTTATTTCTAGTTGAGAACATACCTTTGAAAATTGATGATAAATGAAGCTCAAATTATTCTAATAATTATAATAACACTAAGTTACTCAAATGCCAAACATATGGCAACAAGAATACATGACTTTGCAGAAACCAGGCCTGTTTCTTCGTTTTACTGTCTAAATTCCAGCATCAGGTTGTGTTCGTTGGTTACTTGATATTGCTTTTTTATTAAATATTACAAAACTATGAAAAAATGCTAATTTCAAAAGGATTGTTGGTCATATCATGACGAAGCTATATCATGTTAAAATATAAGCTGAATATTAAAATGAATCAGATAACTAGGTTTTACAGTGAAAGTAATACTAAACTATAACCATATTGGGGAAATAGTATATGGTGCCTCATCTCTCCTATTTAAAACAGTTCAGCTGGAAAGCTTTACCCTTTTGTGTTTGAATGTTGTCCATCACTCCCATGCAAATGTGACCATTTAATTTTTTTTTTCCTTTTTTATCCTGATATTTCTTATTAAAACATGGTTTGGAAAAAGTACAGCTATCCAAAACTGCTCTGGTCATATCTAGTGGCTCCTGGTTTTCACAGCCAACTGCCTGTTGACAGGAAGACACAACCGCGCCACTGTTATCACCATGTTATTCATGCTGGTCAGGATGACATTTACTTACAACATGAAGCCCTTCTTACTGTAGTATTTAGGCAAAGCAATGCCACATGTTGTAATTTTAGTGTGATTTTGCTAGAAATAAGTAGATATGTATCAAGCCAGAGGATTTCCATGACGTTCATTTTTAGAAGGCGTGAGGTCGTTTTTGTCATGCTTAAACAGACTCTTTTTCACAGATGATCATCTCCCTCTGTGTCTTTGTTGATCTAAAGTTAAATTTTGTTGTAAATGACATTGAACTGTAGGTCTCCAGGCAAAGATCTGTGGTCAGACTGCCAACAAATTACTGCCCTCTTCCATTTCCTCCAGTATGGAGTAGCAGGTTATGGAGTGCAAATATACACAGAGAGATGTAATAATTGTATCGTTACCTGTAATTATGGAAAGATAAGTGCAGACTGGTTGACATTCTAGCTTCTTATGGACTGCAGCAGTGAGGGCCATCTGTTCTGAGCCACTGAAGGAGTGTAGGGAGCTCTGACCACAAAGGCAGGGGAGTAACAGACCCTGGAGGGTAAGGGGCTGTTTTTACTGGATTTTAATATTGTGCCAATGTAAAAATAGCTATATTAAAACAGAAACACTTTAAGGTTAAAGAATTACATCTGTTATGTGTTATATGTGTTAAGATTCAATAGTATTTTGTTTAATATTTATATTTTAAATTTCACTTTAAATTGTTTGAAAACTAGGAAAACCAATGAGATTTCCAGGACTAAATAATCCATCCATATTTCCCTCTGTCAATCCGTGTATCCGTCCGTCCATCCGTCCGTCCGTCCGTCCATCCATCCATCCATCCATCCATCCATCCATCCATCCATCCATCCATCCATCCATCCATCCATCCATCCATC